ACCTCCCCCATCATCCTTTGATGGGGGTGCTCTTAGATCCCTCTGCTTTTTCTCTTTAGTTTATCCTTCTTTTATAGATCGTAGCGAAAGCTTGATCTCCGGCGTGAATTCATCACCATCTATGCCTCCTTTAATTATTTGCATCTCCTTAACGTATTGAGTTGACTGGTTAGTCAGATCGACATTGACTTTCTCTGAACCCAGGATGGCCCTCGTTTTATTGTCATATTAAGAGCATCTTTATTCCAGTACCTCAATAGGGAGTGTTTAATATTTTTTTTTCGGATTTAAAAAAAAAGATTAATTGCGGGTCATCACGTGTCGTGAGACCCACGAAATAGACTAAGCAACCAGAAAATCGAACGCTTAAATAAGCAAAATAATGGGTAGTTGCTTCATTTTAAGTGGAACCCACCTATTATTAAACTAATTTCTTAAACAACCCCCTCCTAAGTTACCCGGTTAAAGATGCCCTAATGAACCTCTAGACTATTGCGTTGGATCATTGAATCGGGTTCAGAGTGGGGTGATAAGCACCTCTGATAACATTGTTTTGAAGCAATCCCTTTGTCTATATTGCTAAATCTATGCATTCCATTGTGGTGATGGATACATGATAGATAACAAACATAAATTATACAAGATTATTAAGACACACCTTTGACGAATTTTTAAGGCAAACTGGACCTTCTCTAGTTTTCTTGATGGCCACGTGAACATTGTTTTGAAGCAAAATCTCTTTTCATTTTTGCTAAATCTATGCATTCCATTGTATAATTAACTCTCAATACCATCTCGATTTTCTGCTACCTCAGTTTTTAAAAAGCAACCTCATTTTTAAAATTTTAAAACCAAACCTTTCGAATAGAAATATAAATTGGAGTAAGACCAATGTAGTACAATAAAGAGATATTGTGTTTATAATGCGACAAAGATTTAAGGGAAATTGCCAGAAATAACACTTTCACGATACCACATTTCAATTTTACACTAACCAATTTTACCATTAAAATTTTAATAGGCAAAATACTATTATATCCTTAAATAATTAAACTTAACAATTTTAATAAGGTTTTGATGGATTATGGTTTAGAGTTTAGAATTTAGGGTTTATGGTTAAGAATTTAGGATTTAGGATTAAGAATTTAAGGTTTAAAGTTTAGGGTTTAGAATTTAGAATTTAGGGTTTAGAATTTAGGGTTTATGGTTCAGAATTTAGGGTTTAGGGTTTAGAATGTAGGGTTTAGGGTTTAGGGTATAGAATTTAGGGTTTAGGGTTTATACTTTTAAGGTTAGGGGTTAAAATTTAGAGTTTAGGGTTTCAAATATAGGGTTTAGGGTTTAGAATTTAGGGTTTCGGATTTAGGGTTTAGAATTGATATTTTAGGGTTTAGTGTTGCTTTTTAAGGTTTTAGGGTTACTTTTTAGGGTTTCGGGTTTATAGTTTAAGGCTTAGGGTTTAGAATTGATATTTTAGAGTTTATGGTTGATTTTAGGGTTTAGGGTTTAAGGTTGATTTTTAGGGTTTAGAATTGATGTTTTAGGATTTAGGGTTTGAATTTCGAAATAGCATAATTCGAAAAAAATTAAAATTTTTTTTTTTTGTTTTATGCATTTTTATTTATTTAAATATTTATTATATATATATATATATAGAACAAGAGTATAAGAGTATTTTATCCTTTAATGAAAAGTATATTTTTGAAAATGTTCTTTTGTTGATGATAAACATGAAAAATGGTACCACCAAAGTGGTATAAGTGAAATTTCTCAAGATTTAAAGATCGTAAGAAACCAATAGAGTTGATATTTGGTTAACAAAAACCTCTCAAAGAGATATGTTATTTGTCGTGATTTCTTTATATTTGTAAAATTTTTGTAAGCTATTCTTAAAAAACAAAATATAAAGTCCAATTCAGACTCAAATTTTAGAATTCTCAGTGTTAAGTGTCAAACATAATTGAGACCAATTATGATATTACAATTACAAGAAAGATTATATAGACAATTTGACAACTGACAATACTACCTGCCTTACGATGATTTACACCTCACTGTATCACATGAGCCGTCCTATGAAGATTCACACCTGTTTACTTGCACCATGTTGAAGATTCCTTGTAATTCTTTCCTTCGTAGCCTGTACAATTGTTCAATAAATCGTTTTCGTCGGGATTGAAACATGGACCTCCTGGTGTAGAAGCATTAATGAACCTTCAGTCAAACCACTGGACTAAAGGGTTTAAAAAAAAATTGAGACCAATTTCAGGCTTAGAGCATCCACAATGAAACACAATGGTGGATTCCATTGTGGAGTCCTTAGGACTATTTTTTTTTCCAGAATGGTTAAGGATTCAAAACCAAAAAATGGGTGTAATGGTGGACTCTATTTATGATTCCTTAAGAATTTTTTTTTCTTAAACATGAGAAAATTTTAATTTTATTAATTGCATGATTAAACTTAAAGATACAATAATTAAAATTTTATTAATTGCATGATTAAACTTAAAGATACAATAATTAAAATTCTTCAGCCCCAAATTTGTTCCAAATATTTTCGATCAAATCATTCTTCAATTGTTCATGTATACGCCTATCGCGGACATGATTCCGCATACCAAGCACATTACCGAGATTTGTAGACATGTCGGTACTATAGAACATATCTACCTGTGAACTTCTATTTGTCTCTCCTTCTTCAAATTCAGAGATATCGTACTGAGTGTATCCATCCCGTTCATTTTCGACGGTCATATTGTGCAATATGATACAAGTTCTCATAATCCTCCCAATCTTGTCCTTATCCCATGAAAGAGCCGGGTTTCTGAAAATCGCAAAATGAGCCTGCAATACTCCAAAAGCCCGCTCTACATCTTTTCTGGTTGATTTTTGAATTTTAGCAAATAACTCCGCTTTAGGACTTTGAGAAAGCGAGATAGATTGGATAAATATTGACCATTTTGGATATATACCATCTGTGAGGTAGTAGGCCAAATGATAATTGTGTCCGTTGACCACATACTCTAACCTGAGAGCTCGACCTTATAAAATGTCATCAAATACCGGAGACCGGTCGAGGACATTAATATCGTTTAAGGTACCTAGAGGACCAAAAAAAGTGTGCCATATCCAAAGATCGTGTGAAGCTACGGCCTCTAAGACAATTGTCGGTTTTCCCGATCCACGTGTGTACTGCCCTTTCCAAACGGTTGGGAAATTTTTCCACTCCCAATGCATACAGTCAATGCTTCCTACCATCCCGGGAAATCCGCATATCTCTCCAATATCGAGTAGTAGTTGAAGATCCTCCGGTGTGATATATAAAATGATGATGAATGGAAGATATGTGAGAAAATTAATTCGAGTGCAAAATGAGTATTGTTTTTATGTATGTAGTTTAGATCCCTCTGCTTTTTCTCTTTAGTTTTATCCTTCTTTTATAGATCGTAGCGAAAGCTTAATCTCCGGCGTGAATTCATCACCATCTATGCCTTCTTTAATTATTTGCATCTCCTTAACGTCTTGAGTTGACTGGTTGGTCAGATCGGCATTGACTTTCTCTGAATTCAGGATGTCCCTCGTTTTATTGTCTTATTAGGGCATCAGCATCAATGAACCGCTTTGGGGTTCAGAAGTTTTGGTTTTTTTATTATTTTTCTTTTACGTTTTTTTTTTCTTTTTCAAAAAAAAATAAAATAAAATAAATGAACCAATAGCGGACCGCCACGTGGCATGGGGCTCGCAAAACAGTTGTGAAACGGGTTTATCCGAGAGGGGCGGGACGGCACAAATTCATTAATGTTGGATTTTTTAATATTTTTTTCTCCTTGAAATGCGTGTGAACCTGTGTCATGAGCCTTTGATGCTCATGCTCTTAATGGGCCTCTAGACTATTGCGTTGGATCTTTTAATCGGGTTCAGAGTGGGGTGATAAGAGGACCATCAACCCAAGCTCCTTTTTTGGGGTGTTTATTATTCTTTTTTTTTTTGCTTTTTACGGATTTAAAAAAAATAGAAAAGGATTAATTGCTGGCCACCACTTGTCGTGGGATCCGCGAAACAGGGCAAGCAACTCAGAAAATGAGATGTTTATGGAAGCAACATAAGCAAGGGTGCTTTATTTTTTGAGGCTTTTTGGAGCGGGAACCGAGGGTAAGCACCCCGGTTAAAGATGTTCTAAGCACCTCTGATAACATTGTTTTGAAGCAATCCTTTTGTCTATATTGCTAAATCTATGCATTCCATTGTGGTGATGGATAGATGATAGATAACAAACATAAATTAAACAAGATTATTAAGACACACCTTTGACAAATTTTGAAGGCAAACTGGACCTTCTCTAGTTTTCTTGATGGCCACGTGAACATTGTTTTGAAGCAAAATCCCTTTTCAATTTTGCTAAATATATGCATTCCATTGTATAATTAACTCTCAACACCATCTCGATTTTCTGCTACCTCAGTTTTTAAAATGCAACCTCATTTTTAAAATTTTAAAACCAAACCTTTCGAATAGAAATATAAATTGGAGTAAGACCAATGTAGTACAATAAAGAGATATTGTGTTTATAATGCGACAAAGATTTAAAGATTGTAAGAAACCAATGGAGTTGATACTCGGTTAACAAAAACCTCTCAAAGAGATATGTTATTTGTCTTGATTTCTTTATATTTGTAAAAAAATTTGTAAGCTATTCTTAAAAAAAGAAATATAAAGTCCAATTCAGACTCAAGTTTTAGAATTCTCAGTGTTAAATGTCAAACCTAATTGAGACCAATTACGATATTACAATTATAAAAAAAAAAATTATAGACAATTTGACAACCGAAAATACTACCTTCCTTATGATGATCTAAACCTAATTGCTATGAAGATTCACGCATGTTTACTTGCACCATGTTGAAGATTCCTTGTAATTCTTTTTTTCGTAGTCTATATAATTGTTTAATAAATCGTTTTCGCTAAGATTGAAACTTGGACCTTCTGGTGTAGAAGCATTAATGAACCTTCAGTCAAACCACGGGACCAAAGGAGTTTCCACAAAAAAAAAATTTGAGACCAATATCAGGTTTAAGGGTTTTATTGGGCCTCACACAGATAAATGGGCTTTACCATTCCAATTTGCTAAAGCCGTTGTCGCTATTAGCACATCCTTCCATATATTAACTTCGCTTGCAGCAATTCCGAGAGAAAACAAAAAAAACCTCAAGAATCAAAATCCGACCATGTCTGATATCAAAAAAAGGAAAATAACTCAAACGACGATGATGGACCTGTCGTCAGAGTTGTTGGAAGAGATACTCTTGCGGGTCCCAGCTAAATCCCTTGCAGTAATGAAACTCACTTGCAAGGAGTGTAAAACCCTAATCGAAGACCCTAACTTCGTCGAGAAGCAATTCTCCCGCTTGTGTGGACGTGAACAGCAACTCATAGTCATCACCGACGTCTCTGCAGATTCCAGTTCATCATCATCAGGTTTAAAAGTATCTTGCATCGGTATCGATTTCAACCGTCTCAAAGAACCTTGTTTGAATGTCGATGTTTTTACACCTGAGTATCTTGTTAAGGCTGTGTTTGAGTGCGATGGTCTTTTGGTATGGGTCATGAAAAAGAATATTTACATCTTGAATCCAATGTTGCATAGAGGAAAAGTTATACCGGTAACACCTCGTCAAGGGTATGACTATTGCGACTATGCGTACGGTCTTGGTTATGTTGCAAACCCATCAAGAACAACTGCAAGCTCTAATGATTACAAAATAGTTAAGTTTAGTTGTCATAGTACTTTTAAACTTGATTTATGGACGTATGATTTCAAATCTAAATCTTGGAATGAGGTTTTGGATAAAAGCTTTGATGGGTTCTACAACTTTCCAATCTCGAGTGTGTGTTTGAGAGGGACTCCTTACTGGTTAGGTATTTGTAAGAAGCGTGGTACTACAATCTATTCAATCCAGAGTTTTGATTTTGAGAAAGAATGTTTTGAGCCCTTATTTCTTCCACCTACAACTTTTGGGTGGGAAGATTCTGTTTCTTTAGGGGTTTTCAAAGTAGATTACATCTTTCTGTTACATCAATCAAAGTCGACTCCTAAGATGAACTTGTGGGTGAAGAAAGAGCATTGGGACATCATGATGACTGTTGTTATACCTGAACCTATGATTCATCTTTGCTCAAGTTACTTGATTGAAAACAATAGCAAGCTTGTGATAGCTGGTAGTCACTTTGAAACCAATTCTGTTACCGTCTACATTGGAGGGGAGAATGAAGAGTCTAAGAAACTTGAATATCGATGTGGCACAAATAATATAATCGGTGGTTGCTACTATGCTCCAAGTTTGCTAATGGTTCCTGGTTTTTCTAGGTGAGAAGGAGGTCATGTTGTTAATATGATGTGTTTTAACTTTTAAGTTTTTCGATGTGTTAATGTGCCACATTGTCTAGCTTTTGAATTTCATAAACATAGTGGGTTTGTGTTTGTTTATATTAGTTTGAATCCTTTGTCATACTGTCACGTTTTGTGTGTTTTCTTGGGTTTCTTCAATGTGTTACCTTAACACAAATCTGTTACCTTCACCTCATAACTCCAAAAAGTATAAAACTTTGTGCTTATTACTTCAAAAGGTATAAAACGTTATACTAGGTATTTTATCCGTACATACAGACAAAATATTTTTATAAATAATTTCATCACGATAAATTATTATTCATATGTCTAAAATATTTAATAATTAATTGAATACCTTGTTCTGTCACGTTTTGTGTGTTTTCTTGGGTTTCTTCAATTTGTTACCTTTAACACAATTCTGTTACCTTCACCTTATAACTCCAAAAAGTATAAAACTTTGTGGTTATAACTTCAAAAGGTATAAAACGTTATGTATATTGCCCATAGTAATTACATATACTATTATACTAGGTATTTTATCCGCACATGAAGACAAAATATTTTTATAAATAATTTCATCACTTATTATTCATATGTCTAAAATATTTAATAATTAATTAAATACCTTGCTCTTTACATATGATAAATTTTGAAACATCAATGCATTTAAAATATTTAATATCAAATTAAATATTAAACTCATTATATGATGAAAGTAAATGTATCAGAATAGAAATATTTTTATTTGTTAAAATAAGTTTAAAATACTCATGTATATGTAAAATATAATATCTATCACACCCGCCTGTGTGTGTAAGTGAATCAAACCGCAAACGTTAAAAAACACCTATCAAATCTATACTACAAATGAGTTAAATATAAGTTTACCAAACACGAACATAAGTTTTGCCAATTTATTATTTCTTGAAGAGTATATAATACAGTCTATTTTTAAGTATGTTTACTAGATTTTGACCCGTCCTTTAAAGGGCGGGTTATTTTTTGTTTTAATTTATTTTTGAAAAAATTAACTTATATATTTTTGTTCTTTTTGTAATTATATTTATGTTTAATAATAATTTAATTTATTATAACTTTTTGTAACTATATTAAATATGTCAAGTTGAATAAATATAAAATTATGTCATATGTATTTCAGAAATTATTTTTAAGCTTTATTTTTAAAGTTTACAATATATTTTATTTTTTAGTAGTTACAGCATAATTAGTCAAGAATATTCGTACCTAAAAATTCCGACTCAAAATCAACCTGAAAATTAAAGTCTCATATTCTATTAGATATGGAGTATATACTCGAACAGTTCGTAAAGTATTATATCTGAAAACCAATATCAAATCCAACCCACCGGAAAACCGAACAAAATTTTTGAAAAATGTTTGAAAAAAATAAATTTTAATTGATTCTGTTAAATATAAATATTTAAATGCGTTAATATGGTTTTAACTAATTTTAACTAATATCAAATTTAATAAATAATTTTAATTGAATAACCTATTTAAAACCTGTCGAATAATTCTTTTAAGTATAGATCGTTAAAAATAATTAGTTGGACTAAATCTTTATCAACTGGTCATGTTTCTAATTTCATAAAATAAATAAGTTAAATAATTTAATTTTCATATAAAACAGCTAGTTATATTTTTTTATTTATCTTAATTAAATCATGAATTTTTATTGTATTGGTCTAAATCTTAATTTGTTTTGAAAACTATATATTATTAGGTTATATATATTTTTCTCGTGGGCTGTTGGTAATTGTATATCATGGTAATAATAAATATTTATAATTATATATTAAAAAGATAACACTGACAAAAAAACCATATTATTATTTTTTTCTACAACTGAGAAAGATTATTAAAATTGGGTTTGTATTAGGTTGTATAGGTATTTTTATTAATGATTGTATGTGGAATAGTTGTGTTTTATTTGGGTTGCATCATCAAAATAATATTTCATGAAGGCTATATAACCATGTATAAGTTTCATACTAATGAATAATAATAATGTGAACTACATTAGAATTAGTTCTAAAAAAAAAGAAATGTTACGGTTGTACAAAATTGTTTGTTAGTGGAAGTGGTTAGTTTAAATGTAGTTATATTTTAAATTTGACACAACATTTTATCAATAGATGATGCTGCTATTTTAATAGAATAAATATGCGCTTTAGTTTTTGTTTAACAAGAATGTGTATAAATTTGATATATATTTCAATAATACTAATTCTAAACTGTTTTTAGTCAATTAAAAAAATATTGGTTTATGTTACTTAATTGTTTTGTGCAATCATATAAGAAGATAGAATATATATATATATACATATATATACATATATATATATATAAAATATTTCTATTACTTTGATATATATTACATATATTATTGTTTAAAATTATGTTTTAAACAAAATAATATTTCTTTTTAATATCAAGATTATTTTTTGACATTTTTCTGAAATCATATTATATACAAATATTTTTTTTCTTTTAATCTAAGAAAAAGATAGATATAAATTATTTTTATTACTTTGAAAATATATTTTATATTATTAAAAATATGCTTTAAATGGAATATTACTATTTTGTGAACTTTCCTTTTTAATGAAATCTTATTATATATACATATATTTTAGTTTTTAAATTCGTTTTAAATTTTAGAAATGTTTCTTTTTATTATATATATGTTATTTTAAAAATAGTAAAAATTAAACTTAATTAAAAATCTAACTAAACTAAATAAAGAAAAAATAATATTATTTAAATATAGATTTTAATTTATTAATTAAAAGTTTCTCTGTAATTAACCATCGTAAGAATAAACGTAAGCGCGACACGTAAAAAAAGGATTACTAAAATAATGTTATAGAGATTATTTTGGAACTATATTTTTCTCTGTTTATGTGGCAAAGTTATTTTAAATAATAGAATAGTTGTTAAGTGGTTTTTAAGTACAAGCATTATTTATTTGCAATTTGAAAACATGTAGAACTACCTGATATTACAAATTATAAAATGTAATTAAGAAATCAATTTCCAGCTTATTTACATAGTTTTTATGAGTCTGTTTATGTAAATGACAAAAAAACATAGTAAGAAACCAATTTTTTTAAAAAGTAAGAAAATAGAAATATTATTCCAGTCTTTATCAAAAATACTATATAAGAGATGATTGGTTGTGGCTATAGATGTTCTGGATAGCAAAAATTTAGTCAAGAGATATATATATATATATATGTTAACCAATCAAGTTTTTCTATCTTATGAAATATTTCTAATTTTTTTAAAGTGGCTGTAGATAGCTTTATTTCTATAGCACAATAAGTATTTTATAAACCTACAGCGAAATAATTTAAAGCAAACAAGTCTACAATTTAAATTTTACAGCCGAAAACATAAATCTACAACTCATTCCAATCATCACCATAGTGTTTCTATAGCACCCGTTTCTTCCAAAATAATATAATAAAAATAATCTCTGAAATTATCAAATTTAGTATTAATACTTAACAGTCAACATATTTCATTTTTACGAAAGTCAAACACATAAGTCGGTCCAAAAGCCCAATATATAATATGTGATAACGACAACAACATAAATAGAAAGTCTGAAATATATAATACTCTATAAAAGTTCAAATGCCTATAAGATCAATAACAATAAAAGCGATAAAATACGATAGTAGCCCAAAATCACCCGTCTGGTGGAATCACTCTTGCTCGTCGGTCTCACTTGAAAGGGAAAGAATGAAGGGTGAGCAACATGGGAGTCGCTTAGTGAGATATGGGATGCTACCTTGAAGTCCAAGGACCCATATATGGCACTCTGAATAAATATAAATTAATTCTAATACATGTCAAACACGCTACCTAAAGTACCCAAAAAACAAAAAATAGTCCTAGCGAGGTGCGCATTCGCTGCCCACTAACATGTCAAAAACGCTGAGATAGTGTCCAGTAACATCGCCCGAAGACGATTAATCGACCATACTAGACTACGGCTTAACCGGTTGACTATAGCCGCCCGTAGCCCCATACAATCCGGCATACAGAAGTACCTCTATGTATCCGTCGCAAACAATTTTAACTAAAATTTTACGTTAAGTGAAGCAATCAATGTTGAACCATCTAGCATCCTAATTCTGGTTTAACCAAATAACCTAACTAACTAAGCAAGCAATGTCAGACTCGATTACACATAAACGGAACATATTAGAAATAAAATTTATTTATCTAAAATCCTAAACCATGTACGAGAAGATCGCAAATAGACTTTCACCTTAACAATGGGGGGAAAAGTGGTATCTATGAACTCCACCTGCTCAAATAGATCCCAAATATGATATCAAGACAAAATTCTTAATCAAAATGACCTTTGAATAGTTAAAAATGGGTTTTCGACGGACTGTTCAAAAATTCAACTCGATGGTCAAAGGTCAACTCGGTCAACTCTGATCCAAGCTGGTCAACTCTTGACCAGATTGAAATCGAATTAGACCAATCGGTTTTTCTTAACCAAATTCGATTTCAATTGAGCAAGATTCAAATCAGTTACACACCGGTTTAATCCTAACCAAAATCAATTTCTAATAACCAACCGGATTAACCCTTACCAAACTAAATCAATTTAAATCGCAAAATCGATTAACCAAATCGGCTTGACCAGGCAACAAACCGAGTCGTCTGGTTGACTCGCCGAGTTGACTGAGTCTGGCTGGCAAAAAAAAAACAGTGGTTTGCCAGAAAATTACCAATGGCAACGATGGTGGCGGGCGGCAGAGACGGCGGCCCGTAGGCTACATGCCCGACGGAGGCAATTCTTTGAGTGATGCGTGTGGCTTCGTCCAATCTCCGATCGCAGGATGGTCAGCGGCTACGGCTTCATCTCGACAAGTGGAATACGATGGTGGTCTTTCATGCACGAGATTCTCTTCGGTTAGAGAGTTATGGTTGATTTAC